TATGAATCAGTCTTGGCCAACATTTCATTTTTCTTTGAGCTCATGAAGGACCTTATAATATTCTCTTGTCACCCACTGCCCTAGATCGTTATGGAAGGCTGGTATATATGCTGCACAGCAGGGCAGAAGTATTTAAAAGTATGATTAATAACAGTTCTCATATATAAATTTTAATTTCCTCATTAAGCCCACATTACACCTGGTTATATGTATAAGGGAAAAAATGGGTCAAATTTATATTAACAGTCATCAACTGACAAAGGAAGTAGTAACCTAGGGCAGGTTTTCTTATTTAAAATTAATCTTTGCTTGAAATAACACATGTAGAAATTGCTCTTAAACATGGCTTTAATTTGAGTAATAATGAATGTACTTAATAATATGTAAAATTGCACAGTGGGGAAAAAACCCCAAAGGCTAGTTGTTTCAGTTCCTTGAAGGTAAAATGTTTAAGAGGAAAAAATAATCCTTTCTGATACCAGTCTTACAATTAACACAATATATGCTGCATGAAGATGTCAAAACAAAATGAAAAATAGTTTTAAAGACGTTGTTGATGAAGCTGTCTCCTGTCAATCTTTATTCTAGAACAAATGATGGATTTATAAACTCATATTTGTGCCTGTGCAACCAATCAGGATATTTATTCTACTTCCATATTAATTTTATTGGTTTTATTCATAGTTTTCTATTACATTTGTTTCCATGTTTTTATTCAAGAAATTAACAAAAACTTGTTTAAAATATCATAACTGAAGGAAAATAGTTTATTACTAGATAACAGTATATCTGTCCTATATCTAAGCAGTTCAGCTAGCTTTTCCCTTTTCATTTAATTTCCCTCTTTCTGCCTCTACTCCTTTCACAGATACACATCTTGGTCCAAATACCCTGTTTCACACTGCTCTGGACAGTGTTGATGTACACATAAGCATAAATATACCATATGTAAAACAGTCCATTAGTACATACTGTTAATGTATGTGTGTGTGTGTTTATAAACATTTTTTCCATGCTCTAAGCGCAATGAGCACCAGACAGAAGTTACAGTATAAGTTTGTCTTGTGATCATTAGTAAATCTTCCCTGTGAACACTCTCTTGAACTGTCTATTGAGATATTCTGACATCAGCATATACTTTGTGGTATATGGTTAAGTCCATGATCAAAGGCTAATACTGCTGGAAGGCAAAAAACAAAACAAAAATAAAACTTTCTGATACTAGCCTCATGATTAACACAATATATGCTATGTGTGGACTTCTTCCTTGCCACCACCAATTTTGTGTCCTAACAAACATTTCTGAATTCTAAGGCTGGTAGCAGCGTGCTAGCACTAATGCTAAGTCTGTAGCAAAGAAACTGGAAGGATGCTTCTTCTGTGGTACGTTAAAATGCAAGTTGTACTTGAAAAGCATAAGGCTTTTTCAAACTAATTGTCAGTGACGGTGGGAAAAAGTCACTTTAGGTTTGGTGGAAGCCCATCGCTGATACAAAAAGCATCATTACCATTGCTGATACTTGGGAGGACTGACCAGTAACTGTAAGGATGGTGGCTGGAAGAAACTATGACTAAATCTAACCAGGGCCTTAGGAAGAGGGGCTGCTAATATACAGCACTAGACATGCATATTCATAAGGACCGTGCTGTACCTATCCTGTAACGTGCTTTCCAGTTAAAGTTGCCATTGCAGTTTACCTCCCATCCATGTGGTATGTGTGTACCTAAAATGACTTCCAACTCTGGAAGGACCTTCGGAGGGTTAGATTGGAAGTATCAGGATAAATGTATGGTTTTTAGTAAATGAAGACAGACGTGGAAATAGATATAGATTATAATGTATATGTGCATGTGGATATGTATATGTATATATACACCTGTTTCCTTCTTCTGTTGGCTGAGAGGGCCCAGAAGCAATGAACTTAGCACGTGTCCAGTTTTTATTTCTAAGTACCATTGTACACTAGAGGAAATAAAGGCTGTGCGGAGAAATGATTGACTGTAGGATTGGGGTGAGAAGGGAAAAGGTTAAACTTGGAATATCTTGGGGTGGCCACAAGTAGAGAAGTGCTCAGAGAATGATGGAGATAAATCAAAACAATACATGCGCCAGTCTGAAGGAGCTCCCATAAGACAAACTTGGAATAATTTGACTATCAAAATAAGCAAAATATTAATTGATTGTAATCCATTGAATAAAATAGGAATACAATGAGATCCGAAACAATACTAATAAGTAGGGGAGAATGGGAAGTTTTTCATTGTGATGGAAATCTAACTCCTTAGAATGATGAAAATTGAAAAATTACCACTTGGCAATGTTTTGGGTTCCTGGGCCCAATTTCAGTGTATGTGGGGATGTTCCCACATGATCACCAATTCCCTGGACACCAACTGGATGACCCACAATTCAACTCTTGTCTGACACTATCTACCAGGAGACAGCATCAGAACCTACAGGTTAAGGGCTCAGTCCTACAAGACTGTCCCTCCGCCACACTACAGAGGCCAGTCACAAGCCCAGGCTGTTTGTTACCTGTATTTCTGACCAACTGACTATAAATCAGAGGTTCACATTACCCCTCCATGGTTTTGATTAATTTGCTAGAGCTGCTCACCGGACGTAGGAAACCTGTTTACTCACTAGATTATCAATTTATTATAAAAGAGTATAACTCAGGAACAGCCAAATGGAACAGATGCATAGGGATAGAGCACGGAGTTTCTATGCGCTCTCCAGGCAGGCCATTCTCCCTCCACATTCACCAACCTTGAACCTGTCGTTTGGAGTTTTTATAGAGACTTCATTACATAAGCACTATTGATTAAATCGTTGGATATTGGCAATTGATTCAACCTTCCACCCCTCTCCCCTCCCCTTTAATCACATAGTTGGTTCCTCTGGTGACTAGGTCTCATCCCATGGTGATCTAGGATCATTGCAAAAGTCACCTCATTAACATAACCACAGATACCTTTATCACTTGAGAAATTCCAAAGGTTTTAGGAGCTTTGTGCCCGAAACTCTGAGGAAGACTATATATATATATCACAATATCACAGGCAACCATCTTAGTAATAACTGATTCAAGCAAGAATCATCAGTGGATGAAAAAACTATGATAGAAAGTTGGATATTACGAGGGTATACACATAGTCTCAAAGTATCACCCCATAAGATATACAGAGTGTCCATAAAAATATATACACACTTTAACAGCTGATAGCTCAATTTTTGAAAATTAAATGTATTTTAATAAACACTGTCTTTATCGTTATTCAAAGTATGTGTATTACATTTTTGGGGGACACCCTATAAATTACAAAAGGAAAATAGTAACTTTACAATGGATAAGCCTGGCAGATATATGTTAACTGATCAAAGTTATCATCACTAGTGTCCATGTCTTGCAGCCTAAGACCACCAGGAACACAGCGATAGTTGACCAAGCTGCGTTTATGAATTGTTGCAGTGAGGGAGAATTCACAAAATGGGAAGCTGTGGGACATCTCAGTGAGATGCAGAACATAGGACTTACAGGATTGGGGCCTGTGTTAGATAATTTGGGGGAGGGGTTAAGGAAGTGGTTCTGGATTGGGTGCTGCCAGGAAGCGGGTAATTTTATCATTGGCTATCTTATTAAATCTTCCATAGAAGGTAGGGAGACTAGACTGAAGCTAGAGCAGTAATTGGTAAAGAAGCCACAGGCATCATACAGTGGGGCAAACGTAGGTTTACAGTTGTGAGTGCGTGAAACAGAGTTTATTCTGGTGTTATTTTATTAATTATTGTATTATTTTCCATAAAAACAACTATAAACCTACTTTTGCCCCGCCCTGTGTTAGCTGGGATAGAGGGATGTCTGGCCATTTGTGTGATGAGGACACTGTTCATTGTTTTGTCTGTGTTCAGGCGTGATGGGGGGGGCTTGGCTAAGTGGTGTTCTAGGAAATAGTTCATGTTCAACAGAACACCAAGGCCGGGTTGTGAGGGCCAGCATGTCTCCTAGCAACAGCAGGGCCAAGCTGGTGGCGTTCTCAGATCCCAGATGTCAGACACTGACTGCTTTTCCCTTTCTCATTAGTAGTGACACAAGTCAACATGTGCCTATGGGTATGAAAGGAAAACAGCATCACTCTGTGGCATTCCTGCCATAAATGCAAAACATGAATCTAATCATGAGGAAACATCAAACACACATTTATGGAGATGCTACAAAATAGCAGGCCTGCATTCCTCAAAACTGTCAGTGCCAAGAAAGAAAGTGACTGAGGAGTTGTTCTAAAGGAGACACGCCAAACAGAACAGCTGCCTGCAATGTGTGGTTTAGGCTTTTCTTTTGCTATAACAGGCATTACTGGGACAATTGACAAATTCTAAATAAATATGTAGATTAGAGAGTTGTAGCAGTACTAATTTTCTGAATTTGATAATTATGTTGTGACATGTAAGAAAATGTCTTTACTTTTGGGAAACACTTTGAAGAACTTAGGGGTTATAGGTCATCGTATCTGCAGCTTATGTCAACATATCTCAAACAGTTCAGAAAAAGAAATTGTGTGTTTGTGTGTGTGTGTGGGGTACACAGAGAGAAAGAGAAAGCTAGAAATATAGATAAAAAGGATACAGCAAGATTTGGAAAATCTGGGTGAGGAATATATGGGAATTCTTTATACAATTTTTGCAACTGTTCTGGAAGTTTGTAGTTATGTCAAAATTAAAAATTATTACAAAAAATTGCCTTTTTCTTCCCATTTACCAAGTGCTTTTCTTGTTTGAGTAAAGATATTCTGGGTGGATGCAGCTTTGGTGTTTCACTCACTGCCTTCTGGAGTAAAATTTTTATGTATATTTAAATGTGAATTTCCTACCTTAATTTATTTTATGGCTATCATAAGGCTGACTTCCCAGGTTTCCTTGGGAGGTAGATATTTCCTTTAGCAGTCTTTATATTTGGTAAAATTTGTTATAGTTCATCTTTCTTTTCTTAATTCTGTAGATATGAATTGCCAGGAATATATGCATTAAACTTTGTTTTGAAAAATTCCCTCGGTGGTGGAGGCACTGCCTCCCTGAGAAGCGACCCACAGGTAAGCATCTAAACATTGAATGTTTTCTTTCTCCCACATTGTGTTGACATCAGCCTGTATCAACAACATCCTATAAAACATAACACATACACATACAGAGCTCTCAGTTCAGAAGGAGGAAGAAAATAGGAGTAAAGTCTTTTTGGATAACTTAGTAAAACTCTGTTATCTTCATTTATTTTATTTTATTTTTTAAATTTATCTCTACTGTTGAAAGTATTACAGATGTCCCTCTTTTTCCCCCATTGATTCCCTCCACCCAGCATCCGCCCCCCCAAGGCCTTCTCCACACTTTGTGTTCATGGGTTATGCATATAAATTCTTTGATTAATCCCCCCCACTCCCCTACCCCCACCTTCATTATCTTCATTTAAATGAGTGTGACCTTAGAGAATTTGAAGATCCTATAGCAAGAGAGGAAACTTAGTAGTGTATCTCCACATTTAAGAAAATAGTTACTGCCCGGCCGTGGGTGGCTCAGCGGTTGAGCGTCGCCCTAGGATCCAGGCGATCGGGGTTTGATTCCCGGTCGGGGCACATGCCTGGGTTGCCGGCTCGATCCCGTCAGGGTGCAGGAGGCAGCCGATCGGTGACTCTCTCATCATTGATGTTTCTCTCTCTCCCTCCCTCTCCCTTCCTCTCTCTGAAATCAATAAAGATATATATATTAAAAAAAAAAATAGTTACTATATGACCTGATCTTGAAGCTAAAGAGCATTTGGCATTCTGTAAATTAAGGAGAGCCATTATTTGAAGTAAAGAAAGTTATTATCTTACTATCATGGTCCAGAACCAGCTAAAGCCAGATACTATGGAATTGGGTTGAAATATGTCTGGGTCATCCTAGGTAGGAACTAAAATCAGTAACTTAACTCGGTCCACTATATTCCTTAGCCTTAAATACTGCCTGTTATTTAATCTGTCCTTTGAATCATCTTATACTCATGAAGTCACCCTAAGCTATACAGTAGCCATTGCATAAAGGAAAGAATTATAAAGTTGATAAAAACATCTTACATCTTCAGCTATGCTCCTTGTTAAGCCAATGGCCTATAGGCGTCATTGATGAAATTAAAATTACTTGTAGTTTTATGCCGAATCACTAGCAGAACAGAGGTACTTCAGTTCCTTTTCAGGGGTGGGAAACCTTTTTTCTACCAAGGGTCATTTGGATATTTATAACATCATTCAAGGGCCATACAAAAGTATCAACTTAAAAATTACCCTGCTGTATTTGGTCAAACATTTAACTCACCCCTAATGTGATGGCTGGAACTGCTTGTCTTTGGTGAGGCCTTGGGAGGACCAGACCCTGCCTCGTGCTGGATGTTCCCCCCTCCTGCTTTATATATTCAATTTACTTTCATGTTTATCTGTTTATTTTGCTCTGTGATTCTTACTATCCCCTTAAACATTTATTTCTCTATCATTTTCTTGCAATTAGTACATTCCCATATAAACATTGAGTTTCTGATTTGGGAACTGTATGTCCCTTGTACACATTAACCTCTCTTCATTTTGTTCTTCACATAGAATTCGTCTAGTAGTAATATATTTTTTTTATAACTGTNCTGTATGTCCCTTGTACACATTAACCTCTCTTCATTTTGTTCTTCACATAGAATTCGTCTAGTAGTAATATATTTTATTTATAACTGTGTTCCCTCAGTATGTGTTTTTGAAATGTATTGTCATTATAGCAAATAAAATCTTATTTACCCAAATTATTTATATAGAAATCACTTTTTTAAAATGTGTGACATGAACATTAATAACTGTAATAGAATCCATTTCACACTTGGTACTGTTCTGTTTGTTTTGTTCAACAGGGCAAAGCGCTTGGACAAATGGTTCTGGACTTCCAGATAAAAGATGTTCCTGATTTAAAGTCATTAGTAGGTGGCTAAAAGAGCTTTAGCTTTGGGAAATGTATTCTTAGTACAAATGCAAAATTGAATAGAAAGTAAAATGTAGAAAATACGCATTAAAGTAACACTAGCTTGGTAGATTGAATGCCATCATTAAAAATGTGGTCACTCACAGGTAGAATAGGTGATTTTTAACAATATAGAACTACAAATACCAAAGATACATGTGAGACACACAACAGAAGTGATAGATATATCCCAGAGGTCTTTGGTGATGTTCTTTTTTCTGTCAAGCATATACTTTAAAAACCTCATAAACTGTGATTTGTTTAATAATATATTCACTTTTAGAGTCTCTCTCTCTCTCTCTGATCCGCGAATCCATGCTGGGATAATCTTGTTATTTGTTTGAAGACCATCTTACTCTTCTTTGTAAATGTTTTTAAACATCATGTTACCTATTCTAAACAATCTTTATGCATAAGCATACAGATTAAGTTCAGGTTCAAAGAAGCAGTCTATTCATTATTAGAAAATTTTAACACATTTGTAGTATTCCTCAAACTGAATTAAGAAAAAATAGAAAATATCTGAATATTTTATCCTCAGTAGGAAGAAGTTTGAAAAGTTAATGACATGATGTCCTAACACTTTGAACTAAAATTAAATTCAAGGTTTGCTATATAACTATTTTCATATTTTAGTCCAGGGGACAACATTAACCACTTTTAATCAACTATCAATATTTTATGTTCCATGGTAAATAGTATGGTGATAATTTTGCAGTGNCTATCAATATTTTATGTTCCATGGTAAATAGTATGGTGATGATTTTGGAGTGATTTGATATAAAAAATGTGATTAAGAATTTTAATGAATTACTCTGATAACCCTGATTTTCCCTAGTGCCTATCATTAATATGTTACCCTTATCAGTACCCCACCACACCCCTCATTTAATACTAGAGATTGAAATCACTATGTGAGAGCCTATTGTCACGTAACAAATGAGGGAAAAGATCAAGCTCCTAGGAACATGCATGTAAAATTTAATGTAAATAAATGCTCCAAATGTTAATGGAGCATTTTTTGTTTAGCTTTTTACATAAGCAAATGACCAATATTCATGCATGAATTTCTTGTGGCATCTATGTAGACTTTGCCAGCTGGTTGAGTTTGGGAGTTTTCTTCTTTAGAGTCTACAGCACAAACTAAAGCAAAGGCAGTACAGTCTTTTTGGCTGCAACTTCCAGATGTTTCTAGAGCTGCACTTCGTATCTGCTTTCTCATTTCCTGTCTCAGAGGAACAAAAGTCCTTACTCATCCCCAGTTCTAACTCTCTACCTGTAGTTTTGATGGCACTGCTTCCCATGTCTTCTAGGACTACTTTCATCAGCTATCCTATTTTTCTTTGCTATACATTTTTCCTCTCCCCTGATTTCCCTCCCTTTATGTACATATATTTTCATATGCTCCCCATTTAAAACAAAAAGCAAACGAACAAGACACTTTTCATTTGATCCTCTCTTGCCTTTACTGCAAAACTTTTTGAAGGACTTGTCTCCATTTTGCCTAGCCCTTCCCTTTGCCTGACTCTTACTCTCTCAGCCTCAGCAATCTGGCTCTGGGAAACTACTCCAGCACCTTCCTTATTGCTTAACCCATTGGTCCCTTGACCCTCTTGCTAGCCCATCTGCGTTTGACACTACTGAACGTGCATGCCGTCCTAGTAAGGTAAGAATTTCTTCAGCCTCTCACCCCTCAAGCACCTTGGCAGCTCCTTATTGTGGCTTTTTTGCAGAGCTCTGTCCTGCCTGCCTTCTCATCCCATTCTCTGTGCTGTCTTTATGCAGTTTCATCCACTCCCAGGGTCTGAACTACCACCCAGACATTTGTGACTCCCAAATTTCTATCTCTTGGCCAGACTCCTCTCCAGAGATCCTGTTTCATCTATTTAAGTACCTGTTACCGTTGTTAGCTAGGTATTGGAAGGCAGAGAGCAAAAGGAAGTCAGAAATTTAGCTGGGAAGCAGAGGCCTATTTGCTTCACCAGGAAGCCACAGCTTCTCATCCCAAGAAATTGCAGCATTGTCCCTCTCAGGGGATTAACACCCCTCCCTTCCCCCCACTGCTGGGGGCAGGGAGATAAGGACATGCACAGGAGAAGTCAAAATGGCTTGGGGGGAGGCCTGTCAGTGTAACTTGGGGAAGAGGTCGTTGGCTAGGGAGTGGACCCCAATGTAAGCCTGCAGAATCTTGGCAAGTTATTTGGCTATTTTGAAAAAGCTCCTGGTTAAAACCCCAGGGGAACAAAGCTCTCACTTTCTCCCGCCCGAGACCTGCACTCACCCCCTGCATTAGCGTGCTCTTCCCGTGGTCGCCACGTGGCCTTAGCAGCAGCCACGGCCATGGCTGTATAGGCAACAGATTGCAGCCCGGAACAAGCTAAACTGTCCAGCTGCGGCTGAGCTACAATGTGGCACAGGATCTCTGGCCATTGACGGTTTCTGGCCCTGACTGTCCATGGAGAGACCGACAGGACAGAGATGGGACACTGGGGAACTCCTTTAATTTTGCTTCCCAAATAAATCATCCTCTTAGGGGGTCTCTCGAAATGTTTTTCCTCCTGACACCGCAAGAACCCCACTTCCACTGGCAACATCCCTACTTAACATCCTCGCTGAAAAACCACAGACTCCTGATACTCAGCACGTCCAGAAACTGAATTCAGTTTCTTCCTCCCATAAATCTATCCCTACTCCTACCTTCCTCCTCTCAATGAAGGGTTTCACTGGTTGTCCAATTGCTCCAACAGGGAACTTCAATCATCCTTGGCCCCCCCTTATTCCTCTTACCACCCCTGCCACCGCCATATGTCCAGGTCATCACATCTTGCCAGTTTGTCTCCAGAAATATCTTTCAACTTTTTCCCATGCCCCTCCATCTCATTTTCCTCTGCCTTATTCTAGCTCCTTTTCTCATCTCTTCCCTGAACTAACTGGTCTCTGCTTCCAGTTTCTCTCCCTTCTCCCTCCAATCCATTATCCACCCTGCCTGCCTCCAGAGCTACTTGGATCATCTCACTTCCCATTTCTTGAAAGCTTCTCTTGGCTGTCTATGGCCTGCAGAATTTCTGTCTCCTTTACATTACTGCTGCCTTAATTAATAATTATAGTAAGCTATATTGATTTTGGTCATGATTTCTCATGAAATTTAATGTAAATTCTGTTTTGCTGGGTGTTATTTTGCTGTTGGGGAAAAAATCTCCCAACGAATTCCTGTCTGGCTGGAGCTGCAGTCTTTAATCTTTCCAAAGACAATAGGCAGGAGTGAGTCAAAATAAGGTGCTAGCCAATCAGGAAGCTGGGGAAATCTTCTTCCCAGGAGGTAATTGATTCCTGTTAGCCTAACCTTCCAGGTAGCACTGAGTTAGGAGGCTTCACAAAGAGGAGTCTGCTCATTTTCCTCTGCTTCCTGGGGGAAGTTCACAAAAGCCTTTATTCCCCCTTCCTCCTTAGAGTTAGCTAGTTTGGGCCTTTGTGACCTTGGGGCCAGACCTGAGTATATATGTAAACAAACTGAAAAAAACCAACAGAAGAAAAACTGTTGTTAAGATTATCATTTATGTGGTCAATGATTTAATAATCTAAAAATGATTTAAGAACAACAAAATAATCTTAAAGGAGGACAATAATTTAAAAACATAAGTTTAGGAAACCAAATCTATCAGGCTTAGGACACAGGGGAAAGAAGGTCTAACAGGTAGGAAGTCTGGGATACAGCCCTGGTTCTGCTTCTGACTTTGTGCCCTTGGGCAGTTGAACTGCCCCAGAATCCTGTGTCTAACAGTTGTAGGACTACTGACCACTCAAGTGCTGGGAACTTCCTGGCGAAGGTATACTATTGTCCAAAACTTTAACCAGACCTATTGCAGTATAATAACCGAGTTAAAAACTGGACCCGATTGCATTTGAGAAGCAGGGAAATGAAGTCTGAGTTAAAAGGTGTGGGATCCAAGTTTAGGGTTAGGCATTTCATTGAACTTCCAGGGTTGGACACAGCACCTGGCATGCAGCAGGTACTCAATAAATTAACAGATAATGTGTCTAAAATGAGGACGGTCAAGCCTTTCCCAGTGGTAATGGACGTGGGACAGGAAACCTGTGGCTGAGTCCTGATCCACACTAACACAGTGACAGAAACAAAGTCATATGCCTCAGTTTCTTCCTGGGTAAAATGGAGATGATACTTCACTGGGTTATGACTGAGAAAATATTTGTCCTCCTGTGTCCCTAGCACACAGGAAGCACAGAATATTGCGATCATACCCTACACTTCAAAGCGGCCTCCGAGGAACAGGGAGGCTACAGAGGTAAAAAGTCTGTCGGTAGGTAGGAAATCTGTTAAGCCTTCCAGGCTTCTGCCGAACTCTGCATCTTGTCTCTGACTGCGGGGACCTCTTTCTCCTGGCACCCCCGCAATGATGAAGCCGGGAAGTTAAGTGGGCTTTGCGAGCCCCAGTTTAAGTCCCCTTTGCGCAGAGACCCAGAGGAGTCCTGGGCTGCGCAGTGGGGAGAAACGGACCAGGCCTGAGAACCGCAGGTGGGACGGGGCCTGAAGCCCAGGTCAGGATACTGCTGCTCTTGCTGTCTTTCTGCAGGACTCTAGGGAAGCGGTGGCCGAGGTAAGAGTCACTTTTCAGTGTAGGGTATATGTTGACCAGGAAAGCCTCGGCTCTTTCAGGATTGTCAGACCTGGACACCCATTGGTATGCATCTAAGACGTTTGCACATTGAAACTTGAAGGAACAGCCTTTCACACAATCTGGAAAACGAGATCTTTTTTTTGGGGGGGGGGCGGTCTCCTCTTTCCAATGATCAGTTCTGGTTTAGGAAGGAAAACTTTCTAGTGTTAGATTTCTCTTGGGCATTTCCTTCTAAAGCAGTTGTCTTCCCATAGTTTAGCTGAAGTTGATGCAGGCAGGAAAGTGTTAGTGGGAGTGGGATCCTCTTAGGGCTTCAACATAGGGAGCCATCAAAAACTGACCCTCGGCCACAGGAATATATGCTACTGGGAGAATGTTGAGAATTTCCCTTTTGCCCAGTTACAAGGATTGCTGAAGAACAGGGAAGGGGAGGGCCAACGTGATCCTTGGACGCTGTATTTTCAATTGAAAAGCAGCCTAATCCTTACTCCTCCCGGCTGAAGAGGTTCCAAAGAAGACAGAGCTGTTCTGCTGCCTCCTTTGGGTTACCCCAAAGCCAACTCCTGGC